TACCCAAATTCGCGTGTAAACTCATATAATCATTGAGGAAAATATTGAGCTCAGCTGAGGAAAGCGAGCATATATTTCAACACTGCTCCACTGTAGACCGAGACGTATTTACTTACGTTTTCGCCACAACAGTGAGAATGTCAGTCGCCAAGTACTCTAGTGAAGAAACAATCAACTGAGGAAAGAGAAGGATATGCGCATGTGTTGGTGACAATGGAAAAAATTCTCATTGGTTTCTGTACACTTCTACCCGAATTCTATAATTAGTGAGGAAACTCCTGAGCTCAGTGTTGGAGTAGAAATATATGTTCGCTTCCCTCAGCTGAGTTCAGGAGTTTCCTATACAGTGTTGGAGTAGGAATATATGCTCGCTTTCCTCACCTGAGCTCAGGAGTTTCCTATACAGTGTTGGAGTAGGAATATATGTTCGCTTTCCTCAGCTGAGCTCAGGAGTTTCCTATACAGTGTTGGAGTAGGAATATATGTTCGCTTTCCTCAGCTGAGCTCAGGAGTTTCCTATACAGTGTTGGAGTAGGAATATATGTTCGCTTTCCTCAGCTGAACTCAGGAGTTTCCTATACAGTGTTGGAGTAGAAATATATGTTCGCTTTCCTCAGCTGAGCTCAGAAGAGTTTCCTATACAGTGTTGGAGTGGGAATATATGTTCGCTTTCCTCAGCTGAGCTCAGGAGTTTCCTATACAGTGTTGGAGTGGGAATATATGTTCGCTTTCCTCACCTGAGCTCAGGAGTTTCCTATACAGTGTTGGAGTGGGAATATATGTTCGCTTCCCTCAGCTGAGCTCAGGAGTTTCCTATACAGTGTTGGAGTAGGAATATATGTTCGCTTTCCTCAGCTGAGCTCAGGAGTTTTCTCACTAGTTATAGAATTCGAGTAAAACTATACAAAAAATTTTCTCATCGTCACCAACACATGTAGTTGCTTGTATGCTTACAGAGAAACACAACTGTGTTATTGTCTATTATTACGGGAGTTTCACCCTAGCGATATAAAAACACTAGTGAAAAATATATTTCACGACTACTGCATATCACCGCGAATATCGCCTTTTTCACCACTTCACGTAAAACGCGTTAAACTCCAATACTACCGCTGTATATTCCCCAGATAGCAACTCCGGTCGACCCAGCCTTTCTAGAGCTTCTACTACAACGCACAGCATCTGCGATGTGAGCGACGTGCGGTATCGAGAAATTTCTGCCAGCTGAAAAAAATTTTTTTGCGAGTACTCCAGGACGCACGTTACTACCAGTGATAGATACCTTGGGTCATCAGCTGCTATGTTATCTCGAAATTTGGCCAGCCTCATTAAATTCGCCACGTGAAATGCAACCTGAAAATGTAAGTGATTTCCGCATTGGAGTTTCACGACCGTGATATGAAAAACATATCACCGCGAATATCGCGTTTTTCACGGAGTTTTACGCCACTTCGCGTAAAACGGGTGAAACTCCTGAGGAGGAATATATATTGGAAAAATATATATTCACTTTCCTCAACTGATCTCAGGTAATATATTCCATTCATTAACTATGAACGAATTCGGGTAGAAGTGTAAAGAAACCAAACCAAAATTTCCCAAAAGTTCCGCAGAGCTTCCATATTGTCACCAACATTTTCCCTCAACGACATGCGCAGCGTGGCATCTAACCTTCTGTTGGGATCTCTCTAGGTGAGGAGCATACAGCTCCAATATAGTATCAGCATTCGCAGGGAAGCCGACCTCGGTTGAGAACGCTCTAACTCGTCGACTCAGAAGCGACCACCGACGAGCCGACCGGGACTGCATTGGTAGGGAAAAACAACTTTTTATTAAATGATGATTAATAATGAAATAACTATATATTGTATAATAATATATTTTAAATCAACATTAATAATATTCAATAACCTCTGTTCTCAGGTTAGGAAGTTGTCAACTTTTAAAGCGAGTCTTCACCATAGAGTTCAATCACATGCTCCTGGCCAAGGTCTAGTTCATACGAGTTCCTGTATTGCATCGTCGAGATGGAAGTTTCTATGGACTCTTCTCAGCACTGCAAACACAGACCCGATCGCAGCTTCCCACCAACAACTCGTCCCGCCCAGCCGACTTCATGTGTAGCCATCGGATAGCCATCCTCACACGTCGAGATGCAAACAACCAGAAACTAACAGGTGGCAAGAGGTCGGCAAAATGAACCAGCATTGTCACCAGCAACTGATAGGCGATAAAATAAAGTGTCTATAACCCTCACAATGAGGCGAACCGCAAAAATCTAAGAAGAGTGTAAGTTTTCTTACAATTCTTACACTCTCCTTGGAAGAATGATATAGATTCTCACGATGATAGTTAGGACCGGTAGCAGCAACAACATCAAAGCGAAATCAATAGGCTAGAGTATAGCTCAGCCTAACTAGCTTCACAGGCGAGCGCGTCACAGACCAGTGTTTGAATCACTCTACACTTCACAAGCTTCGTGTAGGGTAACAACAATCTCCCTAGCCTGGGAGAGTTGATAAATCAATCTTGCAGAAGTTCATGCATCGCTCCGTCGAAATATTGTGGAATATTTTGCAATTTTTATTATGGCTGAGTGGGGGGTGAAAAGCTGACAAGGGTTCATCTTCTTCCAACAGGAGTGGGTGAATCATTTGAAATCTGGGCAGAGATAGATTGACCTCAGAATGCTCTCATCATTCGGACAACAGACTCGGGTTTGCAGACCACTATTTTGGTTCACCATGTAACCCGTCGTGTAGATGTGAGTGTCGCTGACAACATAACGAGTTCAGGTACGGGAAGTTTCCGGGCCAGACTAGATCGCATGATTCCCTTCCCGGCGGGAATAAACAAACCTGGGCCTGTTTCACAAGGATACTTGATTTAAGGCGCCTTAAATTTAGGAGCAACTTGAGGAGTTACTTAAGTTTAAGGCGCAGTTTGCTCCTATGAAACAGGCCCTCAATTTTGCGTTTTTGACGATTCATAATAATATTAATAATATTATATTATGGGTTCTATATCATGACTTGAAGGCGAGGCTAGCTAACATAAGACAATTTCTGACTAACGAGAGGATAAATTTCTGAAATTTCCACTGATAATAATCCTGATTACTTGAAACGCAATCATCCTCGTAAAAAGGTTCGCAATCGCATACAACATATTTTAAATGTTCAACACGAAAGTATCAAATCCGGACTGTAGCAAATAGAATCATTCCTGTTTGCGGGGATGCCTTTCGGGATGGTGTTCGCAAATTTGCCTTGAATGATCCGTGATTAAACCGCTGCTTCGTTGCTAACACGATCAAGTCTTGAATAAATATGAACACATGAAGGGTAACCGAAAAAGAGTCATACATTGGGACTACACAGATGACTCACGATTGAAATCGACAGTCCAGTAGA